AAGATAAGAGAGATTTGAATAACTTAATGAACAATCCCAGTTTAATACATACCTGCAAAATGTTTGCCCAACAAACAGAAAATAGCCATCTTACTCAAAATCATGTAACATTTCAAAATGTTCTTACACCACAAAGAAATCTCAGCTTCTAATGGCAGAAATCATAAATGATGCTTTTTCTGACTAAATGTCAATCAAACTAGAAATGAATGATTATGAAGTCTTGGGCATTTAAAAAGTATCTTCCAGATACATTTAAGTTAAAAAGAAAATACAGGTTAAATGATAGAACATTTAGAAGCTGACAAAAATCAACGTACAACAAATCAGATTTCTTGAAGTATAGCCAAAATAGCATTAACAGAGGAAAATGTATAGCTTTAAGTAAATTTATTAGAAAACAGTAAAGAGTAAAATGAAATGACTAAAGATTCAACTCAAGAAGTTAGGAAAAGAAAGGACAATAACAAAATTTTATTCACCTCAAGAATAAAATTAGACATTATAGAACTAGAAAGGAAGAGGGGAGACTTGATAAACATAATCAACAGTTGGTTAGAATGCTGGCTATTCTTTTTTTTTTTTTTTTTTTTTTTTTTTTTTGGGGGGTTTTTTTTTTAGTGTTATAGTGTGTGTGTGCTTGCCAGAAGGATAGAGAGAGACAGAGAGACAGAAAGTGAGAAACCACCCCCCAGGGAGCTAGCCATGCCACAATCCCTTCTCCTCCATTCTCCTCTTGAAATCCTAGGCACACAAGCACACTCGCCTGGCTGAGTTTAAGCCACCGGGTCCGGAACTCGAACTGCAGTTGACTACGTGGGAGTCCAGTAACATAGCCATTATGCCAACTGCTGGTTCTCAATCCTGGCTATTCTAACCAAAAAGAAAAAAGGAGAAAACAAACTTTAAAAGTATTAGAAATAAAAGATGAGACATACTCAAAGGCATGGAAAAATGTAAAAAAAAAAAGAAGTTATACACTTCCTCTCTTCTAAGATGATATTTCAATAAATCTTATAAATTATGTTAAAAAAATTACCAGCTGCTGGCAGAGATAGATTGTGACAGTTGTCACTGCCCTTGTGGGTGAATTTCACTTTGCTTAGAAGCTCTCTCTTCATTCACTGTCACCTTGATAAAGTTATTTACCCTGGTGGCAACACAAGCAGCTGATTTTTTTTCCCCCTTAAATTTAGACTCCTTGGGGTCACAAAAGATGTCTTTAACCCTAGTCAACCATAATTAAACACCAGAGGGAATGGAGCTGTGTGTTCGAAGCTAGCTCGGAATCTAAAAAGCTGAAGTTCTGTGCCCTATTGCATAGACTGGAGGACACCTCAGGGGTGGCAGAAAGGACCCCTCTTTTGGCTATTTCTTAGAAGTGTTCCCTGAATTGTTGGACAATTCCAGCTATGAAAATAACATAGTTGACATAACCAAGGGAAGACAATTGTATTAAAAGAGAATTTGAGAAGGGACAATACTCCAGTAACAACAAACATGCCAAGAGCCCTGACCTTGTTTTCTAATATCATGCTCCAATCAAAAGAACCAAAGGCCAGTTTGTGGCCTAGTAATTAAGGAAACCAGATCCCACATGATGGACCATGGTTGAATTCCACCCCCCAGTGCCTTGAAAAACAAACCAACAAACATCAGGCACATGAGCATCGTGCCCCAAATCCCAATAAGAGGGAGAAAAGGAAGAGAAAGGATTATGGCATGACCATGCCCCATCAGAAGGTGGTTTCTCTCTCTTCCTCATTCTCTCTCTTTCTTTCTCTATTTGGTGATCTCACACAACCCATGACAATTAAAACACAACACAACAAAACAAACAGATATCAAGGTTCCTTGGAGAAATGGCTAATTCTAGAAATTTGGCAGGAAATACATAAGATAATTCTGGAGCTTCTTGTAAGACCAGAAAGTAAACTGGTTCTTGAAAACAAGCAAATTAAAAAATCCTATAATGATAGGGGTATGTCAAAGGGAAAAAGGAGTCAAGTGAAAAACTCCAAAAGGCTGAACACAGAGCTAGCTGAACAACAAATAAAGTAGTATTGAATTATATCCCAAAGTACATATTGAATAACCATGAGCCCAAACTGATGTAAGTAAATAAGTGAGCAGGTTAATATGAGGAAAAGACTGGACGGATCTCCGTGCAGAAGAGTTCTAAATAATTTATCTGAATATCCTGCCCTCAAAGAGGGTGCTATAATTTGTCCCTCCAAAACTCATGTTTAAATTTAATTGCCATTGTAACAGTATTTTTTTTAATTGCCAAAGGACATGTGTGCTTGCCAGAGAGTGAGAGACACAAAGAGAGAGAGAGAGAGGAAGAAAGCTCCACCTTAATGGAGTGTGGTCATGCCATAATCCATTTTTCTATCCCATTGTGATTTTTGGGCATGCACACACCCCCAGCATGGTTTTCAAGTTGCCATGCCTGAGATTCGAACTGTGGTCAGCCATGTGGGATCTAGCTCTCCTAACAACTAGGTTATGGGGCCATCCCATAACCATATTTTTAAAAGCCCTTTTATTTTCTTTATTTGTGATAGAGCATGTCTGCATACACATAAAGAGGGGGACAGAGAGAAGGAGAGGGAGGAGCTCTCTTTGCAGGTGCTGGTCATGTCATGCTCCCCTTCCTCCAGTTCTCTAGCCCATCAAATCCTGGGCACTCATGTGCACACCAGCCTGTTTCAGGATGAATGGGCCATGAATTTGAACCATGGTCACCATGTGGGATCTAGCTTCAGTTGAGTGTTGTGTGTACCAGGAACCTGCCCAGAATAACCAATTTTCTTTTACATTTTTAAAAAAGGTTTTGCCATAGGACGTGTGCTCGACAGAGAGAAGAGAGAGAGAGAGAAAGTGAGAAATCACTCTACAGATTGGATGGCCATGCCACAGGCTCTTCTCTTCCAGTCTCCTCCTGGGATTTTGGGCACACATGGACACATGCCTGCTATGAGTTTCAAGGCTTTGGGTCCAAGACTGGAACTGCAGTTGGCCATGTGGAGTTCAGCACTGTAATCATTACACCACCACTGGCCACACTTTTACACTTTTTAAAAATTTGTGATCAAACGTGTGTACATGAATGAGAGAGAGAGGGGGGAAAAATGAGAGAGAGGATACCCTCCAAAGGGTTCGGTCACACTGCAATGCTCTTTGTCTTATCCTCTAGCCTGCCAGGACCCTGGGAATATGTCTGTGTGTAAGGTGTGTTTTCAGACAGACCAAACCAGGGACTTGAACCACGGTCAGCATGTGGCTTCTAGTTTCACACTGTGTTGTACTACTAATTGTGTCACAGAGAATGGGCCCATTGCAACTTTATTAAGAGGTGGGACCTTTAAAAATTGATTTGGACATGAGAGTTTTACCCTCACGAGTGGATTAAACTGCTGCTGTGGGAGTGAGTTCCTGGTTTTATATATTTTTTTAATTTATTTTTTAGAATTAAAAAATGCTGGGACCAGCAGATGGCATAATGGTTACGTCACTGGACTCCCATGTAGTCGACCATGGTTTGAGTTCCAGACCTGACAACTGAAAACTCATGCCAGGCATGTGGGTGCACATGCCCCAAATCCCAAGAGAACAGAGGAGAAGGGACTGCGGCATAGTCATCCCCCCAGGGAGTGATTTCTTGCTTTCTGTCTCTTTGTCTCTCTTGCGAGCATACACACCCCATAGCAAATATCTTTCCCAAAAAAAAATGCTGAATGAGTTTGCAAACTGATTCACTGATTCATGATTTTCAATGACATATCTGGAGCAACAAGACAAAACAATGCAAAATATATAAAGAATAAAAAAAATGAAAAAGGTATACCAAACACTATTTTGAAAGAAAGCTGGTATAGCAATACAGAGACAAAAAGGAACACTTCATTCTGACAATGTGCCAAGAAAGAATAACTGTGATGTCCCTAAACAACACAGCCTAAAAGGACAGAGACTTGAAAATGTGTTGGTAGAGAGGATGGATGTAAATGCTAGAGACTGTAAGTGAGGAGAGCGGATGGCAGAGAGGGGTGGTGGAAGCTGGATGTGAGATGCATATAGGTTTTTCCATTTGTTCTTATTGTTGCCAGCTTTTCCTTTATATTTCTCTAGGGTTCCTCTTTTTTTTTTTTTTTTTTGGAGAGGTTTTCGCTATAGGGCGTGTGCGCTCGCCAGCTAGACAGAGAGAGACAGAGAGACAGAAAGCGAGAAATTACCCTCCAGGGGGGATGACCATGCCGCAATCTCTTCTCCATTCTCCTCTCGGAGTCTTGGCATGCACGCACATATGCCCAGCATGAGTTTAAGCCACTGGGTCTGAGACTCGAACCATGTTCGACTATGTGGGAGTCCAGCGATATAGCCATTATGCTAACTGCTGGCCCCCCTCTTTTTTTTTTTTCTAATAAAAGATGAGTTTGGACAGGTTTTGTCTCTTTGTCTCATGTGTTCACTTGCCTCCATGTGTTACTTCCTGCCATGGGATGATGCTTGAAGGCCTTCACCTGGAACTGTGCTCTTGGACTTCCCAGCCTCCAAAACCATGAGCCAAATAAATCTCTGTTGTTTGCAAATTATCCAGTCTGTGGTGTTCTGTTATAGAGGAGAAAACAAAGTAAGACAGAGAGGAAGCATAACTTCCTACTTTTTGGGTGTCAGCTAAGAAGAGTGACTTCCTTTCAAAGGGTGTGGTATGGAAAAGGGGAACAACCAGATCAAGGCAGCCAACATCCACAACTACACATGATATGAACATGTGTACTCTTGAGATGATGTGGTGAAAAGTCCCTTTACCTCTGTGGTCTTCCTCCTAATAATCCATAACCCCAGTCTTATGAAAAACTAAATAGGTAAATCTCAAAAGCATCAAAAGCGACGTAAGTCTGAGAAACTCGTAGCTCAGGGGAGCCTATGAAGACAGGATAGCTAAGTGTAAGATGAGCTCCAGGACGGGATCTTGGAAAAGAAAAAGGCATGAAGGGCTCACTTTTGTGGCACATAGACTAAAAGTAGAATAATACAGAGAAGAGTAACATGGCTCCTGCTCAAAGATGACATTCAAATTCCTGAAATGGTCCATATTTTTACTAAAGGAATAGAAAGCATAAAGGTAGAGAGAGTGATGATAGATACTAGAAGCTGGATCAGGAGTTGGGTAAGAAGTTGGTTAAAAGACAAGCATTGCCTGGGAACAAGTGGAATAGGTCATGGACCAATGCATTGCGGTGAGGAAACAACGTTGGTAACAATTTCGTATATACTCAAAAAACCAGTAGAGTGAATCTCAAATGTGCAAGATATAAAGTTGTGTAAAATGCTGACGATGGTGAATACGCTCATGTCCTTGATTTGATCGTGACACTTTGCCTACCTGCTTACAAAAACCAGGTCATACCCCACAAAGACATACGACAAAGACATATGAATCAGAAATTACGATGTTTGAAAAAGGACAGGAAGTAAAAGTAGCCTAAATAAACTATAATTTTTAAGTCAATAATAGAGTATCAATATTGGTTCCTTAATTACAACGAACGTATCACAGTAATAGAAGATGTTAGTAAAGGACAGTCAGCTGGTGGCTTGGTAGTTGAGCTGGCTGGATTCCACATGGCGGACTGCCTGGTTCAAGTCTCAGACCCAGTGGCTGGAAAAATGTGCAGGGCACATGGGCACGTGTGCCCCAAATCCTGAGAGGTAGAAACAGGAGAAAGGGTTGTGATGTGAAAGTGAGAAAACGCTTTCTCACGTTCCCTCTCTCTTTCTCTCTCTGGCAGGGAATGCTCCCTCTAGCAAATTAAAAAATATAATAAAGGAAACTGGGTGCAGGGTATTTGGGGACCCTCAATTTTTTTTCTGTAAATCTAAACTGTAATAAAAATGAAGTCAATTAAAAAGAAAACAATGGTAAGTGATGGTGGCTGAATATGGACTTTCTCCAGAGCTCATATTATTAGCAAGTAAATAACTTTCTAAGAAAAGAACAATTATCTTCATTTTCTCAACAAAGAAGTGAAAACCTGAATAGAACATGAACTCGGATAAGCATATCAGGTAGTCAAAATTGTGACTGCTGCTGCCTTCCCTCAGAAAAGGCAGTAGTCCCACCTGTTTAATAAATAACTACCATTGCCCGAGACAATGACTCTTGTCACAGCCTTTTTTCAGAGAATTAAAAAATAAATAAATAAATAAATAAAAAGTTGTCCAACTCATTCTATAAAGCTAATATAGTACTGACACCAAAATAGGACAAAAAAATAAAATAGCATACCTACAATATAAGCCTCTATCATTTGTGAACACACATACAAAATCCAATGCAATAAAAAATGTTACACTGGGGCTGAGCTAGGATAGCCCCGAGTGGGTTATCAGGGAGGCCTGGGGGCAGCCACTGTTATGAACTAGTATGGAACAAGTTTGGTATTTAACAGCTCCCCTGGCTGTCAGCCCAGCTGCGAAATAAGTCCATTCCTGTTGTACATCTATACATATCCGTGTTTTTAAGTCTGTAAATATATAGATCAGCCTTGGAAGGACATACACCAACCTGTTAACAGGGGTGGGAGGATTGAGACCAGGACCATGCTTGGGTGGTAAAAAGAACATTTCTACTCAACTATCTTCTGTTATTTATTTATTTATTTACAGTTAAAATAAGACACATGCATTTAATCTAATCCAAAATCCTAATGAAAATGTTCTGATGTGATGACATAACAGTGGAAAAGAGTCATCGTGAAAATGAGCATAAATGATGAATCAAGAGCGTAGGGAGCACAAAACTTTCCCAAATTGATATAAAAATGCCAGAGAAATCTCATCATTTAAAAAAGAACCATATGAACTTGGGAATAGGGAGAAATGTTAATAGATCAGAATACACTGTTCAGAAATAGGCCTGAGTATATACAAAAATTTAGCGTATGATAAAAGTGAAATATCACATCAGTGGAGAAATGGTGGATAACTCAGGTGGTCAGCCATTTGTAATGCATACAGTCAGATCTCTACTGTTTACACTGAAATAGATTGTAGATGCTTTGAAGATTTAAATGGAAAAATATAAATCCATGGGTGGTGTAGGGGCTACGGTGCTGGACTCCTACATGGCTGACTGTGGTTTGAATCCAGGACCTGGTGAATTGCTTCCTCACCTTCTTTCTCTCTCTCTGGTAAGCACATGTGTCCTATAGAAAAATTTTTAAATAATGGGACCAGCAGTTAACATAATGGCTATGTCGTTGGACTCCCATGTAGTTGACTGCAGTTCGAGTTCCGGATCCGGCGGCTTAAACTCACGCCGGATGTGTGTGTGTGCGTGCCCAAGATCCCGAGAGGAGAATGGAGGAGAATGGAGGAGAATGGAGGAGATTGCAGCATGGCCATCCCCCTGGGGGGGAGGGTGACTTCTCACTTTCTGTCTCTCTCTGTCTTTCTGGCACGTGCATGCGCCCTGTAGCAAAAATCTCTCCAAAAAAATTATTAAAATAATAACAATAAATTTAAAAAATTAAAAAAACCTTTTAAGAAAGATTTTTGCTGTAAGGTACATGTGCTCACTGGAGACCAGAGAGAAAGTGAGAAATCACCCCCCCGGGAGAGGGTGGTCACAGCATAATCCCTTCTCTTCCATTCTCTGCTCAGGATTTTGGGCACAGGAGCACACATGCCCGATGTGAGGTTCAAGCTGCCAAAATGCTGGATCTGGGACTTGAGCCACAGTCAGCCATGTGGGAGTCCAGCATCTTAACCACTATACCACCTGCAGGTCTCTAAATAAATAAATCTTTGAAAAAAAAAAAATCTAAAACCATGAGAGCACTAGAAGATATGAGTGACTTATATAATCTTGGCATGGAGAAGTCTTTTCCAATATGATGATAAATCTAGAATCCACACAAAACTGGATGATAAGGCTCCCTAAAAGTTAAACACTTTTGCATAATAAAATATAAAGTGAAAAGATAAAGGATAAGTTAGGGAAAATATTTTGCCACATAAATTAGATAAAATTCATATCCTTCAAAAGAAATAAGGGGATCAGCAGTTAGTATAATGGCTATGTCGCTGGACTCCCATGTAGTCGACTGCGGTTCGCGTCCCGGACCCGGTGGCTTAAACTCACACCAGGCGCGTGTGCGTGTGTGCCCAAGATCCTGAGAGGAGAATGGAGGAGAAGGGATTGCGGCGTGGCCATCCCCCCTGGGGGGTGATTTCTCGCTTTCTGTCTCTATGTCTCTCTCTGTCTGTCTGGCAAGCACACGTACCCTATAGCGAAAATCTCTCAAATAAATAAATAGAGAGAGAGAAATAAAAAGAAACCCCCCAGATAAACTTGAAAAGGAATGATAAAAGGAGAAACAGGAAAATTCCTTATGGCATACCACCTAGCAATTCCTCTTCACATATAAAATGTGTATACTCTGGCCTACATAGTTCACTTCCAGAAACATAAAAATTGCAGTATTTTTTTAATCATTCTTTTTTAAAAACAATTAGTTTATTTAACTTTATTTCTGTATATATTTATTTATTTTAATTTGACCAGAGAGGAACAGAGTGAGAGCAAGAGCAAGAGAGAGAAAGAGAGAGAAGGCAAGCTGCCAGGTCCGGGACATGAACTGTGGTTGGCCATGTGGGAGTCCAACGTCCTTAACCACCATGCCATCTGCTGGCCCCTGAAGTATTATTATAACAAGAAAAATCTGGAAAAGCCCAAAAGTCCGTTAGTTAGGATATTGGTTAGATACACTGTGGTATAGCTAGATAGTAGAATACTCTGCAACCATTAAAAATTAAAAAGTTGACCCAGCCATGGCAGGACGTGCAGGAGACACTACTGGACAGGCCAAGGCCACATGGGAAGCCTGGATTCTATTCCTGGCCCACCCTAAAGGCTGAGCATTATGGTCACTCAGGAAGCTGAGGCAGAAGGACTGACATAGCAAGACTCTAAAATAAGTAAATAACTATTTTTTTAAATTAAAAAGTAAATCTATGTGTAATGACATAGTGTTTAAGATACTCATCTATGTGGGAAAAGTTGCATAGCAACACAATCACATTTTTGAAAAATAATTAGAATATTTATATTTGTATAAATATAGAAAAGAATCTTGAAAGAATATATATATAAATCAGTTATGAAGATGATTTACAGGAAGTGGAATTACGGAAAATATCTCTGTTCTATTTCTCACCCTTATATATAGTTCAGATGTTTTTATTGTGTGCATTACGGCATCAAGAATATATCAGTGGGTTCAGAAGTTAGGGTAATGGCTATGTTGCTGACCTCCCACATATAAGACAACGGAGACTCCCACATAGTCGACCACGGTTTGAGTCCTGGACCCAGTGGCTTAAACTCACGCTTGGCGCATGTGCATGCGTGCCCAAGATCCCGAGAAGAGAATGGAGGAGAAGGGATTGCAGCGTGACCCGGGGGGTGATTTCTCGCTTTCTGTCTCTCTGTCCTTCTGGTGAGTGCATGTGCCCTATAGCAAAAACCTCTAAAAAAAGAATATATCAGTTACAATGTAGTAATAACTTTAAAATTCTGAAGATCCTTTTCTTATTTCCATATTCTTTATTGTTAGTACTTTCCTTATTTCCGTATTTCTTATTGTTGTCCTAGAAATGAACATTTTTAGGAAGAATAGACAAAATTTCTAGTACGCCAGGGGAGTACAGATTATTCCATATATTTATTCCATATTCTCCCATCCACATGCATGAACACTGTCATACCCAAGAGGAGGCGATCAACTTAATTGCTAAGCCAGCTGAATGAGTTCAGTGTTACAGGCAATGTCAATTTCCAGCCAGGGTGTTAGCTTGTTCATAGAGAATCTCCAACATGGGATTAGGAGAAAAGCCCCAGGGAAAATCATTGCAACCTCCCCCACAACTTTGTCCCTAGTCCTGCACTGTCCTCACAGGCTGATGGTGGCATTAGCCAGGGACAATGAGTGGTGAATAAATAGCTTTGGACAGGAAGTTGCCACTCCAGTAGGAAACCTGGCAGAAAAACTGAACGAATGGAAGCTTTTTGTGAAGTGAAGAAAGCCCACCAGCTGT